CTTACATATTTGAGTCCCATTTATATCATACCATCATAAGACACCACTCATAACCCCCTTTCAAGTTCACTTGTGCAATGTACATATGAAGTCCCATACCCCCCATATACACTAAGTAAAACCATTAAGAAGACACAAGTGTAGTCACATACAAAATCAACATCATAATACGTGAATCCAACCTTAACCTCATTCATACCTTACCACATATAAAGGACTCACACAAGAACTCCTCAAAGAACCCACGTGTGCAATGCATAGGTAAAGTCCCATACCCTCACCTATACTAAGTAGTATCCCTCAAGTAGTCCTAGTTAGAGTTCATAAGTCATTTACATAAGTCATGTTCACACCTTAGATCATCTTCTTAAAACATAGGGATATTAGCACTAACTGACATAGACCATGAGAGCTTACATGGAATCCGGTGTTCTACTCCCACACCGTAAGAGAGTGTTCTACTTGCCACGGTAGAACTAACATAATAGCATCTAAGTGTATCCACTAGCTAATACCTATGTGGGCAAACATAGTTAAGGAACAAGGAGATTGCTACTAGAAACCCGGACTTGCTAAACGTAGAAGGTTTCCATCTCATGAGACAACATATATATTGGGAACCCGGACTTGCTAAACATAGAAGGAACCCATATGGGAAGCCGAACTTGCTAAACGTAAAAGCTTCCATCTCATATTCATGTTCACTCGGTGCTACGCTCATATCCCGTTTAATGTAGTATTAGGCCTTTACTTACACATTAATTCAATAAGGAATTTATTAGGAATTCAACCCATCATTCTTCATATAGCTCATAAGTTCTAAGATGAGAATAACCTTTCATCATAAAACCCTCAACATATAATAATGTTCATTCATAGCATAGTCATATAGCGTTCATGAGATTTACCTTCTATTCATCATACCAACACTACCATAATCATAGCTTAACATTCATGTTCGTGTCATAGCATACTTGTCAACACTTTGGGGTTGTAGGAAGAGGAAACATAACTCAATCACTACAATTCATAATCAAGTAGCACCTCCACCATAAGTGGATCAACAATTCAATATATGAACATTCATCAATGTGACAACATTCATAGCCTTCAAGGATCCCATCAAGATTCAACCCTAATACATTGGTAATCATTCATCATATAGAGAAACATCATAATACAATAATGAATTCCACAATTACATATTAGATTCTCATCCTTCATTCACCATTAAAGTCATACTAGGGTTTAAAGTGAGAAAGAAGGGAAAATTCATGGGTCTTGTGGGGATTTGTTCAAAAACCAACAACACTACATTAATTCATCCATAAACCATAATATACAACCATAATTAATCACTATAAATCAAAGAAAACACATTTGGAAAGTGACCCATGAAATTGAGAGAAAACTAGAATTTGGGGAACTTTGAAATCCAATTTTGAGAGGGCCTCTTGGGGTCTATCCCAAGAGTGAAGAGCCACCATACCTTAGTTGATCCCTTGAGAATAAATGGAGAAACTCTTAGTAATTTGGGGAAGAACCTTGAAACCCTAGCTCCAATGTCTTCTTCTTCTTCTTTAGTTTTAGAGAGAGAGTTTAGAGAGAAGTAGGAGAGTTTTGATTTCAATTGGGGGTTGTGAATAATGACCAAAACTAATGAATTTAGACTTAAAAACCAATATATATTTAACCCCTAAAATACCCAAAACACCCCCACTTAATTTGGACTTAAAAGGAAAAGTCCCAAAACTCCTCATTTAAATGGTCCCCGTCAGGGACCACGGCCATCACTTCTTGAGTCGTGAAAGTGCACCACGGACCGTGGTGTTGTCCGTGGTGTTGGAGGCAATAGCCCCTCTGTCGTGCACAAGCTAACTTTTGGCCAAGGCAAGACCACGGAGCCTCCCACGATCCGTGGTGAGGACCACGGTCAGTGGTGATGGCCTTGGTCATGACTTGGCCTTGTGGAGGCAAGGCCTTCAAGCCTTGGTGCCAAGTGACTTTCACGAGCCCCCCCCCCCCCCCCCCCCCCCTTGCTCGTCAAGTGCACCACGGCCCGTAGTGGTGCCCGTGGTGCCTTGGGTAGTAGATACTCCTAACGCCCCCAACTTCCAAAACTCTAAGGGGACTCCACGCCCACCTTCACGAGTCGTGAAGTGGACCACGACTCGTGGTCCCTCTTGTGAAGGGTGAGGCAGTGTCTAAGACACTTGGAGGTCCCTCTCCCTTGGCCAAGGAAACTCCACGGAGCTTCCCACTTGCCCGTGGTCATGACCACGAGCCGTGGTGATGGCCGTGGAGCTTGAGGCAGTAGCTCCAAGTTTGGGGCAGCCTTGGCCTTTTGCCTTGGCTTGCCCCTTTTTGCTTGGCACTCCTCCCTTAGGCCTTGACTCATAAAACCCCCCATAGGACACCTAGATGGTCTACTAACATAGGGGAATTTTATTTCAAGCCTTCTTGACATTACGTTTAGGCTCTAGTTCAATCTACGATTTTTGGGTTGTTACAATTATGTTCTGCTGGACCCAAATGGGGATCATGTTTTCGTGGTCCATTATGCCTTCGTCTTTTGCTGAATTAAGAGGTAGAATATCCTCTAATGTGTCGTTCCCCTCCTCCTTCTCTTTCAACTGTAAATAGCCCCCTGTGTGTATCTCCATATTTTCTTTGTTCTCTGTATGGATAATAGATATTGCATCATCATCAACTTGCTCTTCTGTCGCAACCCGATCATTGCATGCCTCAGCAAAGGTTCCTGGATTGAGTACTAATTCAGCCTCTATCACCCTTGGTGTTGTTATGTTTGCTTCAATCTCAATTTGGAATGGGTCTGAGATCTTTTTTGCCTTGGGCCCACTTGTTTTAAAATAACTTCTGCTAGAATGGACCAGCGGGTCCAAGCCCAAATCTTGTTTGACCTTTTTTGAGTTTTTAAAAGGGCATTCACGTGACCAGTCACGTGTTAGGATCAAAAAGATTTGAGCTGCCCACATGCTCCTCTGTCTGTACAGCTGTTTCCAGTGCAGGAAAAGGTTTCTCAAAGCCTGATATTATCCTCTGGTTCAAAGAATTACCCACAACAGCCGGTCCGACAATCTCCTTCTCTTCTCCGACATAGAATTTCACTGGCGCCTCATTCCAGATTTGGATGATATACCCTATTCCTTCGAATTCGATTCTCACTTCTTTCGGAATGCTATTTCCTCCACCCTTCACTAGAATTCTCACCCATTTTAGGTGATTTCGGAGTTGTGTCTCCACAATATTCCCCTACCGCCTTAAAGACCTTGTCTGACCACAAGTGCAGGGGTAAACCTACCAGTCTGACCCAAGTCTGCTTGATGGCTGCTCTAGATTGGATAGCACCTACAGTTGGTGTCCACCATTGGAGTTGCAAGCTCTGTTTCTTCCACGACCAGCTACCTCTGAGTACATGTTCTGCAGCTTCCATGGAGGCAAACTCAAAAAGGAAGCAATTTTTTCCCATGTCATAGATGTTCAGACCATGGCTTTGGTTCCAGTTCGAATTGGCCCATCTGCGAATCTCCGAAAGGGTCGGTGAGTCGGACCCATTGGTTGTAACCTGACCATAAAGGCTCCTGCTCAAGGTCTCATTCTGAGATAAATTGGTGTCACTATCAATACGGATTATATCTCCATCTTGTTTTGTAGTTGCAGCCTCTATCCCCCTCGAGGTCCATTTACTTTTCCTGAGTGTTTCAGCATAAGGAATCTTCTTGTCAACCAATGTGGGAGTTTTATTGGTTATCCTTGTGTTTTTGTAATAAATGAACTTCTCAATTTTGTTTGCCAAATCCCACCAACCTACATTGAATGCTGTTTCTGGGATAATTAATACTGCTCTATTTTTGCCCTGTACGCTGATTATACTTGTATATCTCCCCCTATTGTTGAAATTTCTTGCACAAAAGAGCTGTGTTGATAGATCCTGTCGTTTCCATCTGCAAACAGAATTTCCTTTGACCTTTGAAGCTTCTTTGAGAGTCCTGCGCAGCCATTCCATTGTGTTCTGACTAAAACTTGGCCTGCTCATCCTTTTTCTTCCACGTTCAATCCAGTCATACCAGCTTTCTCCGCGAGCACAGCTTCTCGAGTTGTCAAAGGATTTGAATCCCATCGCAAAGTACATTATGTTGTTTTTCATGATATGGGACGAGGAGAGAGAAAGAAAGGGTTGATGGTTAACCACGTAAGGTGTTAACTGATGTAAGGGAAGGAAGTTTTCCGGTGCCGAGGCCACCGGAAATGGTGGTTCTACCCTCCTAGGAAGTAGGAGAGAGAACTATCTCGGTATTTGTGTCTGGGAGCATTTTTTTTTTTTACATTCTTTTATTTTCCTCTTTGTTTTCTCATCTTGGAGATGTGTTTCCAGACCCCTACACCAAGTGTATCCCTGCCCCTCGTTGGCCTCCAATGATCAAGAATACCATGTTTAGCTTTGATTGTATTCCTCCAGTACCTGCCTAATTCTGTCCAAACCTCCAAAGACACTTCAAAAGCACACTTTTGTTGTGTAGTTGTAGGTTCCTAATCATTAGTAGAATTAACCTGAAACATTAGTAGAACCATAATAGCAGGTGTAGACCTAAAATCAAATGGAAATAAGTTACTTATAATTTGTAGGATTCCATGCAAATCTAGCAAAAAATTTACCTAAAAGGAAGCGAAAGATCCATTAGATGGTATCAACTAATTGGAACTAAGGTTTAGTCATGATGCTACTCTTGCTCTAGGGTTCCCGTGTTTGTTAGTGGCTTTTGATTTTCTTGGAAATATTGAGAACCTCTAGTGTTAAAGAACCTCAATTTACCGAATATTATAAAGAATCGGGTCCATATGGGGCATGGGATGTAATGATAATGAGGATTCACATGGAAGACCTAACAAGGTTTAGGCATAGTAGTTGTTGTATTAACTTATGATTGGCAACATTATTAGCAAGCACATTAAAGTTCAAGTTATGGTGTTAATTGCAGGATAGCCAGGAGAGGTCAGCAAAGAAGCTCTTTTACAGCACCTGAATTTTTTTAATGCATATTATCTGTTTCCGAGCATTCTCCGTGCTTGACTGTTGGAACAATTGAATAAATTGTAATGTTAAACAATGATGTCTAAGGCACCTTGTTTTCACAAGGGTATAACATTTTGGTTTTTTAATGTTGCATTTGAATCCTTAAATTGAAGAACCTGCGAGGCTGTGTGTGATGCTCCGCTTATCTCATGATGTTAAAAGTTGAATGTGTGCAGCAGTATTTGAAAGAGAAGAAAGAAAGAAGGTACAATTTAGTCAATTAAGTTGTTAGAAAACTTTAATTTCCACAAAGACAAATTGTTTAGGTTTGAAGGACATGATCAAACTCATGAGTAGTTATTACATGTAAGTATGGCCTTGACGAGCGACTACAGATGATGGTGGCGAAAATCTTGGGTCCTGTAACCACCTCTAGTCTTGAGGGTGAAAGAATAATGGTGAACAGGGGAAGCGAAATGTTATAGATGAGGATATATAAGTTTCTCACATTACTTGTTGAAGCATGTTGTTTCTATGAAGAAATAAGTAGCAGGCATTACTTTGTGAGTAACCTATAATATTTATTCCACTAGAAGAAAGGGTTGATGTTGCGTGGAAGGTGATCATTACTATTTGCTTTGGAGATAATAATTACTATCAGAAGTTGTAGTTAGTTCTACCACATGCCTTCACCTCATCTGAATTTTAAAAATTCTCCCTTCATTCATCTACTACGCTCACTCAACCTTTTATTACGTCTTGGAGAGATTATTTTGCACCCTCATTTGTTTTTAGACAAAAGTATTGAAAATACTATTGAACTTGACATGAATAATTTGTTTTATCTCTGAATTATTGGTAGTCTTAAAAACAATCATCTATTTTACTAAATCAAGTTAAATGCACATGTCATACACATAATTGTGTTGCTCACAAGCCTACATGTGGAATTTTCTGTTGACGTAACATTTATGTGTTTTATAATTTAGTTAGGCAAGTAGAGGGGTGTTTTTAAGACGGTCAAATAGTTTTGGGACGAAATTAATGATTTGCGTCAAGTTCATAGATAAAATTAACAATCTCATTTTTTTTTTAAAACAATACTATTTATTACTTGTCATTTTGTTATAGGGTGACCTAAAAAATCTACATCCATTAGACTTTTTCCTTGTAATCTATCTCCATTACATCTTTTCCGAGTTTTTTTGCTAAAATCATTCCTCAACTATGACTCAAATCTAATGTACATCCTTATATTATCTAAGTGAGCAAAAATCATTCTTATGCTATCGAAAAAATAACAAAAATCATGCTTCAGTCTACTTTTTTTTGTTAATAAACTGATTGAACCAATAAAAAATAATTTAATTTGATTATGTCTTAGCCACAACGAGGATATAGATAGAAAATGAATCTTTCATTCCCATAATTGATATTTAGTGTGTTGTTAGTTTATATGTTTTTTGCATCATCAAGTAAATTGACTTGCCACAATACATAAGTTTTGAAATATTTATATAGTAGATTTTGATGGTTAGAAAGATTATGTAAAAAAAATCATTTTAAAAATATTACGCTCAAACTAGTTAGAGATTTTCTTTAATAAAATATTTAGTATGTATGATGTTATATACAATGCAATTCACATTTTATACAATGTATAGAAATGCTGGAAATTTATAAATTACGTAGGTGTTTAGTTATGAAAATAAAAAAAATAATTACTTTATTTGAAAATTTTGAAGTTGGAGTTGTATTTGACCATACTTTTTGCAAAGAATATTTAAAATTTGAATTTATTTTGTCTGAATATGATTTAAACCCTCAAATTCTAAAAATTAGAAAAATCACCCAACTTGACTTGCTTAACAATGTGTATATATTTTCATTCGATTTGGCACATTTTTTGTTGGTGGCGTGATTTTCTTAAAAAAAAAAAAAATAGACAGAAGGATGAATCTTGCAACTTTTTTGATAGTACAAGAATGTTTTTTGTCCACTTATATAACACAAAAATGTACTTTAGGTTTAAGTCATACTTCAGGGATGATTTTAGCCAAAAACTTCATCTTTTCCTTATAATTTATTTGATACAAAATAATATACAACTCCCATGACCCACCTTTTTCTAAAAGAAAAAAACAACAACAAATCAAATAATCAAAAGATACAAAAAAACCTGTTTAATGAATATAACTTATTGTTAAATTATTTACTTTGGTGCAAATGCACAAAGATCAGCGATGAAGCGATGAGTTCAATTACCATCTTCATTCTCAATGAGTTAAGAATTAATCAACGATTTTTTTAAATTTAATACAAAATTCTTTCTTAAACATGCTGTAACTATATCTATTAATTACTATAAATATTTGTTATAAGAATTATGATTACATGATTATTTTAAAAAAAAAATTGGGTCATAGTGCAGATATAATTACTAAGGGCAAACTTACATAAATATATTATATTAAAAAAATATTTACCATTTATAGCAATAATTTTTTTTCACTTGATCATTTTTAATACATTTATAATACAGTTTTAATACATATTACAAAGAATTATTTATTATTCACATGCAATACAAGTTTTATTGATAGATAATACATTTATCATACATTTTAAGTCATTTGGTAGAGTGTATAAGAATAATGTAAAATAGGGTTAGTAATGCTTGCATTAGTAGTGGTTGCATTAATTATGCAAGCATTATTTCTTATACAATGTTTGGTTTGATGTATTAGAAATAACAAAACTTGCATAATTTATATTTAAAAATATATGTTTACAAAAATACCCTTCACACTTTATTTATTTTTACATTTCCTTACAACAAAGTTCTTTACTAAAACATCATTAATTCCTATTCTTTTTTTAAAATAATATTAAAATAGTTGTACTATTTGAGTCAAACTATTTTTGTGAAAAGTTGGCAAATAATTTTTTTACCAAATTATCGCCACAATAGTAAAATTTTCGATTAACTATGTTAAATTAGATTTAAAAAAAAGAAGATACTTAAGAGGCCATAAAGTCTATTAAGACACTAACAAATTAAAAAATATTGAAAAACAAATAAAAATAGAAATAATAACATATGACATGAAAGAAAATGAAAAGAAGAGAAAATGTATTAAAAAGGCTTTGAGGGTAGTTTTGTAATTATTTAATCTAATGCAAATGTTAAATGCTATGTATTACTAATACCTAAAATTGCAAACATGACAACAAAATTGGTCTCTTAGCTAGTTAGACGGCCATAGAAAAATAATATTGTCTGGCAATTAGCTACCTTGTCCCGATTACATAAAATAGAAAGTTTCATAATAATTCAAGGGTATAATTGAAAAGAAACTTTTTGTAGAGTTTTAATCCAAATACAAGATGAGTTGGGAAGCAATGAACCAAATACTTGATAAAAATATACCCTGCATTATTAATCCCAGCACTACTAATCCCTGCATTACTAATCCCTGCATTACTAATCCCTGCGTTACTAATCCCTGCATTATTTATTTTTCTACGAAACGACCCTTACTTATCGTTTGGTAGGAAGTATTAGAAGAAATAGTCCATGTATTATGTATGATATTAATTAGTACTATGTTTGGTAGAATTTTTGGGCTTAAGTATAACTAATCCATGGATTAGTTATACACCCTACATGGTATTATAGGATGTATTACTAATACCTTGCATTTGGTGGTATTAGTAATACATTGGATTTAATACCATGAGATTATCTATGTAAAGACAAAAATATAGAGTCATTTTATTTATTTTCTTGATTTTATATTTGTACTAGTAAATTTATTTTAAAAAACTTTGCTTAGAAATTTTATTATTTAGAAAGTTGTTTGTCGATAAATAAATGCAATGCATATTAATATAATATTTAAAATGTGGTTTGTTTAACATTTACTAGTAAAGGTCATGAATATATCACCACATGGCGTTTGTGATCTTAATTGAATATATTATTTGTTGATTTATATGTGGTTTCTAATTATTTGTATTTTGAACAATTTATAAATTGCATACGAATTAAAACTACAACTTGCAATTTTTATGTATAAATGTAGATGGTTTATTCGATTTTACTATTGTTTACCATTTTTGCGGTTTTAAAGTAGATGGTCTATCTATTCTAAATTGAAAACTAACGTTTCTTAAGTGATTAATTTATTAAGATGACAATATAATTATTTACCCTCTAATAATTCAAGTGAGAAAATTGCAAACATGACAACAAAATTGTTCTTCTCTTAGCTAGTTAGACTGCCATAGAAAAATAATATTGTCCGGCAATTAGCTACCTTGTCCCGATTATATAAAATAGAAAGTTTCATAATAATTCAAGGGTATAATTGAAAAGAAGCTTTTTGTAGACTTTTAATCCAAACACAAGATGAGTTGGGAAGCAATAAACCAAACACTTGATAAAAAATATAACCTGCATTACTAATCCCAGCACTACTAATCCCTGCATTACTAATCCCTGCGTTACTAATCTCTGCATTATTTATTTTTCTACCAAACGACCCTTAAATACACAAAAGAGTGTATAACTAATACTTGCATTAGTTATACATGTCAAGAAAAAGTATACCAAACAAGGTACTACTAATACACACACCTAATGCATGCGTTATAATTACAATGTGTCAATTTCTTACCAAACAAGCATAATATATTTAAGAAAATAATTATAATACATATATATTGCATACATAATTCACTTTTAATACATATTACAAATTTAACATAGTATTGCTATCTATTGCTATAAATAGTAATAGATATAAAATATCGCTAAAATCAGTAATTATTTATTAAAAGATATCCATCCACGTAATTTTTCCTTCTATTTACAAGGCTTCAAACTTTAGAGGTCCAAAAATAATTGACTTTGAAACAAACTTAATTTTTCTTTTCGACTTTGGGATAAACTTCAAAAATCTTTCTTTATTTTATATAATAAATATATTGATTGATTTTCAAGTGACAAAGTATTTAAAAATATATACTTGTACCGTTGTACGTTGAACCAAGCTCTCAGAATTCAGGAATCTTGCCCTTTATGGGCATTTGTACGGCTCGTGGAGGGTTATTGTCACGACCCTAGGTAGCCCCTATGCGTAACATGGCGTATAAGACCCCGAGATACCCCAT